TTGAGAAGAGGATACAGTGATGGCTTGCAGATCCCTTGGACAGCTCTGGGAGGAAATGCTGGCACTTGCAGGACAAGCAGTTTCTTTTCAACACACTAGTTCAGCCAGGTGTTTATGTATAAGTACTGTGGTCAACATTCCCCTCCCTCATCTCTGGGCTTTAACAGATGCACTTATCGCTCTAGAGCAGCGGTTCTCAACCTGTGGGTCGAGACCCCTTTGGGGGTCGAACGACCCTTTCACAGGGGTCCCCTAAGACCATCAGAAAACACATATATAATTACATATTGTTTTGTGATTAATCACTATACTTTAATTATGTTCAATTTGTAACAATGAAATTGGGGGTCACCACAACATGAGGAACTGTATTAAAGGGTCGCCGCATTAGGAAGGTTGAGAACCACTGCTCTAGAGTGTAAGAACTTTTGTTGACTGTCATATCATTAGTAGCCAGAACAGCATCTAACGTATAATGTACACTTAAAAAGTATTTGTTGAAAAAAAATTGCTGATTTAAAGTGTATTTTTGAGCCCTGGCCAGGTAGCTGAGCGTCGTTCTGATACCCCAAGGTTGTGGGTTGGATCCCTGGTCATGGCACTTACAGGAATCAACCAATAAATGCATAAATAAGTGAAACAACAAATCGATGTTTCTCTCCCCCCACTTCCTCTCTCTAAAATCAAATTTTAAGTGTATTTTTGCATGTATCTTTAAGAAAAGTACACTTCTAGAATCAACAGTTAGCAGCAAAAGTCCATTATCTCCACATAGTGATTGGGTGTTTAGCTGCCTGGGCTGTAGACTATTGGGCATGTGACTGATGATGGTGACTACATTACCAGCAGAGGCCCAGAAAAGAGAAAGCCAAGTCAGAATCCCAAGATTCAAGATTTCAGAGCCAGACTTAGACATAATTGCTAAGTTTAGGAAGTAGAAAAGATGGAATGAGGACTCAGGGAATGTATAACAAGTCAGCCTAGAACTATTTCTGTAAATACCATTGGGTAGTTTCTTTTACAGGCATACAGGTAAGTGGCACAGGGTGAGTTAGACTGATTAAGAAGTAGAGGGTTGAAAGAGAAAAGAGGAGGATGGTTAAAGAAATAAAATTAGATATATAGGTAGGTTATAAATCTTTAAAAAAAAAAAAAAAGCAAGGGCCTGAATAAAGCAGAGAAAAAATTTATTTTAGACATATTTCTGATAAGAATTTTCAAGACTTGGTGACTACTTGTTAGTATGGTATGGAGGAAGAATAACAATGATTAAGGTAATTTACTTTGCCGAAACTGGTTTGGCTCAGTGGATAGAGCATCGGCCTGCGGACTGAAGGGTCCCAGGTTCGATTCCGGTCAAGGGCATGTACCTGGGTTGCGGGCACCTCCCCAGTGGGGGATGTGCAGGAGGCAGCTGATCGATGTTTCTCTCTAATCGATGTTTCTAACTCTCTATCTCCCTTCCTCTCTGTGAAAAATCAATAAAATATAAAAAAAAAAAAAGGTAATTTACTTTGGGGAACTGGGAAGACAGTGATTGTATTAAGAAGAGATGGAGACTCCATGGGGGAACAGTTGTTACCCCATAGACTCATTACCTTTATAAGAAGTTAGTTTGAGCACAATGACTTTGAAGTGTCTGTAGAAAATTCAAATTGAGAAATTAAAAAGGCCTTTGGAAATACTCATCTAGATCTCAGAAAGGAGGTTAGAATAGAGTTAAAAGATTTAGGAATCCATTTGTGTGTAAGTGCTAATTAATTTCAAAGGCCTAATTTGAATGCAAAGGCATCATACAAAGAAAAGAGAGTGAAGGATGGAAGGATGAGGTAATCTAAAATTAAGGGGTAAATGGGAGAAGATAATGCAGTAAAAGGACTATAGATAAAATAGGACCAGTGGTACTTAAGAAAATGAATTTGATATACAGGCCTTGTTTTCTTGTCCTTTCCCCCATCATTACGCCACATGTGATAGCCAAAATTAATCAGCTCATTCAAATTTATTTCTTTCTCTTCCCTTATTTTAATGTACACATATATGCTTACTGTTGCAGGTTGGAATCCTGGGAAACAGACTCTGAGATTCTGAGATCTACATGTAAGAGGCATGCTGGGGGGGTAGTTACTCTTGGGAACAAGATTTGTGAGAGGTAGGATTAGACAGAGGGAAATGAAGTTGTAATAGAGGCCTTTGTGGACCTATTAGAGCCCTGAAGCTTTCTGGAGAAGTTCTGAATTACAGCAAGGGGGCCAAGTCTTTGTATCCTCACATTGACAGAGAGGGTGATGCAGTAGCTTCTTTAGGTCAAAATCAATTTCCAGAAAAGAGTATAGTTATGAGCAGTTAGTAACCAACACTGTAGGCAGATGTAGCATGAGTGTCACAGTTCTTTAAGAGTTGGAATCTACATGTCATAGCATCCACCACAGGTTCACATCTGTGTGTGTGTGTGTGTGTGTGTGTGTGTGTGTGTGTGGTGTTTGGTGATTCTCTGATTTGTCAGTAAGTGCATTATAAAAATTGATTAGTGATGACAGAAGTATTCTGGTGATATAAGAAATAAGTTGGTAAACTGACTGCACCTGCTGCTATTGCTGAATCCACTAGTAAGAACAATTTTCCAACTCAGATCCCATAGGCACAAACAACATAGACCTGGATGGGAAATCCAAGGTTGAGGGAGTCCGAGAGAAACAGTCAGTAAAAATGTCTCTCCTACGCTTTTGATCTCTACAATTTCCTCATATTGCAGTGTTATCATGGGTGCTACATTGTTATTTAGATCTAAACAATAACAAATACAACTTTTGCCAGCAAATTTAAACACCTATCAAAGTTCTTGCTAAGGATAATTTTAATAGACATATAGATGTTGTGATAATGTGCTATAAGTAATGATTTTTAGAGATCATCCAACCTTAATACCATATAGTACAAAACAAACCTAAAATTGTTATGTTTTTTTAAAATGTGTTTCTAGGTCATCCTCTTTGTAAAAAATTCAGATAATTTTTTTAATAAGTAATCATTATTAAGTAATTCTGAGGGGGTAAACCTGACCTTATTCAAGCCTGAATTTCTTCAGATTCTTCTGAATCTACTACAAAGTTCATAACCAGTTTCCATTTCATGGACACATATTAAAGACACGGTTCATTTGGTAGTGGTGTGTGTGGTGGTGGTGGTGGTGGGGCACAGTAAAGACAAAATTAAACGAACTCTGCCATCAAGTGGCTAGGTAATCTTGGGTACATCACATAAGCTCCTTAGGTTTTTATTTTTTGACCTATAAAATGAGGAGTTAGACATTTACTAAGGACCCTTCATACTGTAATGGATACATCAGAGGTATAAATGATTCATCAGCAATGATTTCAAATAGCATGTAGCACATTACTGAAGGAAGTGCTTTTAAAGCAGAATTATAAGACTTTGCCACTGAAATATATGTAAGCTATAGAATTCTTGAAAGTAGTCTATGACTGCCCTCTCCTGTTAATTATATGGTGAAGATAAGAAATAAACCCAATACAAAGCATTTTTATTTTAAACTAACCTAAGATTCCTACCTCTCCTCTCAATAAATATTATATTCATTTACTTACAAAGGAGGAACTACATTAAAATACTATATTCATGTGAGTTTGATCAAACATTGTACATTTTTACAAGAATGACCATGGCTATCACTGCAGTAAGAAGCTTACCCAAGGAAATAATATGCAACATATTAGGCACCATGAATTCATGTCATTAAATGTAAGTGTTATACTTACAAAATATAAAAAACATTTTTAAATGCCTTGAAGGAGCAGAGGTATCTAATCACTCTTTTTCCTCTGAAAAAGTAGCAAGGGAACTTCAAATATATATATATAATTTGCCAAAATCTCAAAGTTCAAGAATGTATCCCAAATATGTCTCCTGACAACTAATGGTGTTATTAGGTATTTGATTTAAATTTCCATTACTTTTTTTTTTGGTTGTTTTATTCTGAGCATCATAAATCAGAATTTCAAAATTGCAACATGAATTTCCTTACTTCTATGTTCATTTATTCAATTTCTTTTAAAATTGAGAAATAACTCATCCTATATAACAAAGAGCTAATATGCTAATTAGACAGAACAGCAGAAGGACCATCCAGACGACATTCCAGACAACCGTCCGATCAACCTTCCAGACGAAGTCAGGGCTGCGAGGGCTGAGCCCCTTGCATGAATTTCATGCATCGGGCCTCTAGTATACCATAAAATTCACCCTTTACAAGTGTACAATTCAGTGGTATTTAGCATAATCACAAGGGACAAATATTTATTGAGTGCTTACTATGTGCCATGTTTCTGTTCCATTTGATATTCATGTACCAGAAATCAGAATATTCAAATTACAACATGAACATTCCTTTCTATGCCAGATAAACCAGTTCATGTTGGGATAATTCTTGACCAGAAATGAAGTTAGCCAGTGTGGTACATGACATACGCTTCCAGAGTTCAAAACAATGCAGAGTGCAGAGTCAAGAATTGTTTCCGCCGAAACCGGTTTGGCTCAGTGGATGGAGCGTCAGCCTGCGGACTGAAGGGTCCCGGATTTGATTCCGGTCAGGGGCGTGTGCCTTGGTTGCGGGCACATCCCCAGTAGGAGATGTGCAGGGGGCGGCTGATCAATGTTTCTCTCTCATCGATGTTTCCAACTCTCTATCTCTCTCCCTTCCTCTCTGTAAAAAATCAATAAAATATATTTTTTTAAAAAAAAAGAATTGTTTCCCCTTTGGCATAGCCTGGCTTGCTCATAAACTTAAATTTCTGGTATTGGTTGGACAGATGTGGAATGGCTTATCACCAGGTAGAACTGGAGATCATCGAATTTTAGAGCTACCTTAGAGATAATCTATATCTTATATCTCCACTGTACAGATCAAGGAACCAAAGATCAGAGAGAATTAATGGCCAGTTCAAGGTCACAAAGTTGGAGCAAAGCTTTCAGATTCTTACCTTGTTTCTCTGTAACAGTTTCCCAACTGTATTTCTCAGGGACCCAGGATTCTTGGAGGAGCCTGCAGAACTTCTGGGATGATGGAAGAGTAGCTGAGTGGAAGACCCTCTGCATCCCTCCCTAGTGATTGATCAAGACAGCTGACCATAAGACTGGATAAGGGTGAATTTATTGACCTGGAAGCATTCTTAGGATACGAGATTTAACACCTAGAGCAGTGGTTCTCTACCTTCTGGCCCTTTAAATACAGTTCCTCATGTTGTGACCCCCAACCATAACATTATTTTCGTTGCTACTTCATAACTGTAATTTTGCTACTGTTATGAATTGTAATGTAAATATGATATGCAGGATGGTCTTAGGCGACCCCTGCGAAAGGGTCGTTCGACACCCAAAGGGGTCGCGACCCACAGGTTAAGAACAGCTGAATCCTAGAGCATGTTGCCAACTTCCTCTTTGAATGGTTCCTAGAGAAAGTAATGGCCCATGCTGAGATGCTGAAATACCTGAACTGCCATGACAGATAGTGGATTAAAAAGTTCAGGGAGCCCTAACCGGTTTGGCTCAGTGGATAGAGCATCAGCCTGTGGACTGAAAGGTCCCAGGTTCGATTCCGGTCAAGGGCATGTACCTTGGTTGCAGGCACATCCCTGGTGGGAGGTGTGCAGGAGGCAGCTGATCGATGTTTCTCTCTCATTGATGTTTCTAACTCTCTATCCCTCTCCCTTCCTCTCTGTTAAAAATCAGTAATAAGAAAAAAAGTTCAGGGAGTTGCACAGACTAGAGTACATATATTCTGTAATGCCAGAAGCCCACAGGGAGCATTACGTTCCATAGGAGAAGCCAGACATACACCATGCACCAGGTCATCAGGAATGCTGAGGTGAGAGAGACATCAGGCTCGCTAAGAAGTTCAGTAACAGCTCACCTCTGAGGGGGGCTCAGGTAGATATTACAGAGCTGGGCTTATTAACAGCAGCGGGAATGATGGAGCCCAGAAGCACAGATCCAGGATGCAGAGCTTGGGGAGTCACAATGATCATAACTTGCAAATCAGAGTGACAGCCAAGGGAGCTCAACCTGGAAAGTGTGGAGATATTTATGGAATCCAGTGTCCCTAGTGGGAGAATAGATGGGTAAGGGTACTGCTTAATGTATGTAATGAAGGAAAGCAGGAGTGGATGACGAGACTGAGGGTGGTCACTAAAGTGAAAAATGTCATGATCCCTTTTACCTATTTCCAGTTCTGAGTCAATTTTTCAGGCTCAGAACCTGTTGACTATAGAGGTAGCCAGGTCCTGGAGGAAAGGACCCCACAACACTATGACAAGTATATAAGGAACTCAGGCCAATTTCTGAGTTAACTGTGCACTGAGAACAGGAGAATATCCAGACATTTCAGGGAAAATTAGGCACAGGGTCTGAGTTGATGTTGATATGTGGAGACTCAGAGTATCATCTTGGCCTCCCCAGTTAAGAATAGGAGCATACATACTAGTAGTCCTGGCCAAATCCTGGCTCGGCTACACTGGGTTCATGGAAACAACTAGGGGTCATTTCCTCAGTTCCTGAAGGTTACAATTAAGATTGACATACTTGGGAGTTGGAGTAATCCCCACATTGGGTTTTAGCCCATGAAATAGGAGCTGCTGTGGTGGGGAAGTCCAAATAGGAGTCTTGGTAACTGATTCCAAGCCCCCTTCAGACAAAATAAACCAAAAGCAATATATCATATTTTGGGTGGCAATGGTGGAGATTATTGACACTTTTAAGGATCACAAGGATGCCTGGGTAGTGGTCTGTGATGGTTAGTTTTATGTGCCAACTCGACTGATTCACAGGGTGCCCAGATATTTGCTTAAACATTCTGGGTGTGTCTGAGAGGGTGTTTCCATATGAGGCTAGCATTTGAATGGTAAACTGAGCAGGTTGTCCTCCCCATTGTGGGTGGGCTTCTGTTGAAGGTATGGATATAACGAAAAATAAGGGAGAATTTGCCCTCTCTGCCTATCTTCCAGGTGAGACATCCGTTTTTCTCCTGGCTTCAGACTCAAGATTTGACTGAAAATTAAACCATCAGCTCTCTTGGTTCTCAGGTCTTTGGACTAGGATGGAACTATACCATTGGCTCTCCTTGGTCTCTAGCTTGCCAACTACAGATCTTAAGACTTCTTAGTCTCTATAACTGAATTAGCCAAAGAAATCTCAGAGAGACGGGGAGAGGAGAGGGTGGGAAGAAATTAACCAAAAAACTTTTATGCATAACCCATGGACACAGACAATAGTGCAGTAGGCCTGGGGGGGGGTGTGGAATAGAGGGGGTCAATGCGGGGCAGGGAATAAGGAGCATTTGTTGTACTACTTTCAACAATAAATATAAATTTAAATAAATAAATAAATTCTTATCTCTGCTTCATTTATCTCTTCTTCTGGAGAATTCTCTAGTTCTTTCATTTGGGGGTTGTCTCCTCATTTTGGCTTTCTTTTTGGATTTGTGACTATGTATTAGGTAGATCCTCTACACCTCTCTACATCTCTAGTGCAGGACAGTGTTAAAGGCTGTTTCTGACTAATTAGATCAGGCATAGACTCAAAGCTTCCAGAGACCGCCTCTGCCTACAGACTGATAGGATTCTGACTTGAATTGTCCCCCAGGCAATTGTCCTTAGGTATGGTGAGGGTTGTTTTTATTTTCCAACAGGGTGGGGCAGTAGCTTCTGGCTGGAGGCTAATTGTTATTTTTAATCTCTTAAGTGGCCTCAGGGCAAGGTGTTTTCCAATAGGGTGTATGGACTGTTTTCCCCCCAGGCAAGGCAGATGTCTATGTGGGAAAGATGTCCTGGCTTGTGTGAGGGAGTGACTCAGCCCAGGAAACTTGCGGAGTCTGCCTTCTGAGATCTATCCCCCAAGTCCCCAGTCCTGGCTTCTGCTCTCACAGCTCCAGTCCACTTCATCCTCCCTCTGCCAGAGCACAAGGTGGGTGGCTCCACAGGGAATTTTGTGTGTTGTCCCTTTAAGGGGGTGCCTGAGTTTTCAGCTGTTACTCCCTGGCAAACAGCCCCCCACTGCTTTTCACAGCCAGATGTCATGTGGGTACCCTCCTCAGTTTTACTGCTCTCTGCTGGGGGGCCCAGCTTGGGGATTATATCCCAGTATTCTCAGTGGCAACCCCCCACAGCTGAGATATCTCTCTGGGACTTCAGTTGCTATCTGTGGGTGCCTGGCCAGCCCTTTCCTGCCTCCGCTCCTCCTACCAGTCTCTATGTGGTCTCCACTTTCAGTCCTCAGGTATCAGGGTTCTCTCCTGTGAGTTTTCCATTGATTATTCAGGAATTTTTTCTGTATTTTAGTTGTAATACCAGTTTGTTCCTGGGAGCATGTCCATGCAGCATCAACTTACTCTGCTGCCATTTTTAATCTAAATAAATAAATAAAATTTCTTTAATACATATCCTATTGGTTCAATTTTTGGAGAACCCTAATACATGGTCCCTATCATATCACCATTTAATGTACCTGTCTGCCCTCTGCAAAACCTGAATGACCATAGACTACTGCAAGCCTAACCAAATAGTAGTCCTAATTGCAGATGCCAGACTTGACCTGTCTCTTTACCACAGCATATTAATGTGGCTTCAGCTACCTAGTATATGGTAAACTGAGCACAGAACCTTCTGGATGTTTATGCTATTTTTCTTTCTCTCTCATTTTTATAGTTGTCTCACCCACACCTCATGATCTGAATATTTTTAGCCAGTTGCCTTTCAGTTTTTCAGCATTTCACAACATTTTCATAGAAACAACTGTTTGCTTTCTTAGTTCATCAGTTTACATTTTTTTCAATTACATAATGGCAATAACAAGTACAAATAGCATTAACAGATTTAAGAACACGTAATTTTTAAAATATACATTTCAAATTATAGGAGCAGAAATGTAGGTTGTCCTAGAGTAGCTTACCACCTGTAAGCATTTAGCGACTCAGCATGCCAATGACAGCAGTGTGTTTTACACATGGAATGGAGTAGGCTATTCATTCCAAGGGTTACTGTGGATTTAAGATTAAGTGGAGCTCAGTTATAAGTGTGTTCACAAAGGACATGATGCTCTCCTCCCTAGCCCCATATGTATATATGGGGGTGAGAGAGGTGGGGAAATGTACTTTTGCTCTTTTTAACAGATTTGATCATATCGTTTGCTTGACACCAAACCACCATCGGTCCCCAATATATCAATATATATCTCTATATATATATTTTAATTTCATGCTAACATCTTTTTTAAATCTTTATTGTTATATTACAGATGTCCCCCTTCCGCCCTCCCCCATTATCCCCCTCCACCCAGTTCCCGCTCTGCCCTAGACCTTCATCACCCTATTGGTGTCCATAGGTAATGCATATATGCATATGTTCTTTGGTTAATCTCTTCCTGCCGCCTCCCCCCTCCCCCTTCCCGCTGAGGATTTGTCAGGCTAGTGCATGTTTCTATGCCGCTGGTTCTATTTTTATTTCATCAGTTTGCGTGTGTGTGCGTGTGTGTGTGTGTGTGTGTGTGTGTTTGTGTTTGTTACTCCTCACCCAAGAATATTTTTTTCCCATTGTTTTTTTAGATAGAGTGGGAATGGGAGGGACAGAGAGAGAGAAACATTGATGTGAGATACATTGATTAGTTGCTTCCTGCACATGCCTCGACCAGGGCCGGGGATCGAGCCTGCAACCAAGTTATGTGCCCTTGACCAGAATTGAACCCCGGACCCTTCAGTCCATGGGCCAATGCTCTATCCACTGAGCCAAACCGGCTAGGGCTATTCATCAGTTTATTTTGTTCATTATATTCCTTGTTCATTTATTTTCATTTTTATATTCAATTGTTGATAGCTATGTATTTATTGCCATTTTATTGTTCATATTTTTTATTGCTTCTTCTTCTTAAAGAATACCCTTCAACATTTCATGTACTAGTAATACTGGTTTGGTAGTGTTGAACTCCTTTAGCTTTTTCTTGTCTGTGAAGCTCTTTATATGACCTTCAATTCTAAATGCTAGTTTTGCTGGGTAGAGTAATCTTGGTTGTTAAGTCTTTGCTATTCATCACTTTGAATATTTCTTGCCACTCCCTTTGGCCTACAAAGTATCTGTTGAGAAATCAGCTGACAGTTTTATGGGCATAACTAATTGCTCTCCTCTTTCTGCTTTTAAGATTCTCTCTTTGTCTATAAGTCAATTTCTTTCACCAGGTAAGGGAGTGTCACTTGTGGATATGGAAAGGTTGTAATTTGGCATGATCTGAAGCGGTCCATCGAGTGCACCGGCTCTGGGACCCACCCTAACCCCCCTGGAGGTGCAAAGTCAACCACTGCCTGTGTCCTGCCTGGGGCCACCCATCAGGAAATACAGAGCAATCTGCAGATGGCTGGTATTTGTGTTGGGCTTGGCAGTGCCCAGGAGAGGCCAAGCTGTGAAACAAAGGAGATTGCTGCTAGTGCCAGGTCTGGGGCCTCTTCTTGAGAGGAATGGGGCATGCTGACACTAGCTGCTGCTTGTTTGAGAGATTTTAGGAAAGTGTGAAGCCTGAGCCAGGACAGGCCATTCATATGGAAAAGCTGCTGCAAACAGCTTGGATGGGACTGCAAATTGGGTGGGGTGGAATCTCAGGAAATCACCAAGGTGGAGGGAACAGTATGCACCAGGCTGATGGAAATAGATATGGTGCCTACCAGACACCTCTGTGACAAGGGTGGGGGGAGGTCTCAGATAGGAACAATGACCTCTGTGAGCACTTTTGTCTGAGAGGTGTCAGACAACCCAGTTCCTCTCAGTATGTCCCTGGATCCCCCTAAGCCGCTGCCCCAGTGCTGGAGCTCAGAGGGAACAATTAAGAGGAGCTGAACCAACTACCCTTAAGGAGCCGGTCCTTTAAGAGGAGCTACTGGGACTCTAGCAGCCTCTGTGTCACTCAGCCACAGTCTCTGCTGGTTTTTACTGCTCAAAGTTACAGGAGCTTCTCTTCTCAGCTCTGGAAGCCTGGCCTGAGGGGTCTGGTGTGGGGCTGGGACCCCTTGCTCCTCTCAGGAGGTCTCCACAGCCTAGATACTCCTCCCGATTAAAAAACATGCCACACATGGGTGTTGGACCAGCCTGTTCAGCGCTTTCACCCCTCCTGGTAGTCTCTATGTGCTTTCTTCTTTACTTTTCTAGTTGTAGTACTAACATTCAGCAAAATTTCACACAGTTCTGAATGATGGTTGTTCTGTACTTTAGTTGTAATTTTGATGTGGTTGTGGGAGGCGGCAAGTACTGGCATTTACCTACGCCACCATCTTGGTGTCTCTGCTAACCGTCATGTGTATCCCCCAATACCTTAATTACAAATAAAAACTCCTTAAAAGTAGTGTATAAGGCCTTTCACCAGCTCAGACACCCTATCATATCAGTCATATTTCCATTTCATGCCATTTCCCCCCAACAACCCTCCTGCCAGGCCAAACCAGAGGAGATCATGCTTTTTCACTTACCCGTGATTTTGCAACTTGGTCTAGAATTAATTTTTTTCTTCTTTTTGGGGTGACAACATAATTTACTGCCCAACCTGGTACACATTTGAGAGTGAAAGGGAACACTAACCAGATGGGACAATGGGAAAACAGATACAAACTGGGGTAGTCCTATGCAAACAGGCCCATGGTCACCCTACTCATATGGACCCACTGATGTCCTCATTTCTGTGATCTCAGTGCCTAGCCCTCAGTGGGTGCTCCAAAAATCTTAGTTGAAATTAACTATATATTCTATGAACCTTTCCTATTTCTGTTTTTATTTCCCTCTAGAACCTTAGTTACCACTAATATACTCTAATACTGCATATAAAAACTTCATATGAATTACAAAATGTGTTCTTTCTTCCTGGTAGCAAATTCCAGACTACACAGTGAGTGGACACAGGCTGGATTTCAACTATCACTTTCCCCTCACCTGGGCGTTTTTGTGTAATGAAGAAATTACTGAACATGTCTCCAATCATTTATCCTGAATAAAAATTAAGTGGTTGTGAAAAATACTGAAACACTCTATAAAATATATATCTGATGACGTTTGAAATCTGGATGAGAAAACCTGCAAAGTAAATCTGTAATAAGAAGAGGAGAGTATCAAACATATTATCTGGAATTTTATGCATAATAGACATGAGGACACCATGAAAGTATGTTGGGGAGTAATAAATTGTTTTAAATGTTTTTATTTTTAATATTTTTTTTTTCAGAGAGGAAGGGAGAGGGAGAAAGAGATAGTAACATCAAAGATGAGACTTATCAATCGGCTGGCTCCTGCACATCCCCTACTGGGGATTGAGCCTGAAACCCAGTGACCTCCTGGTTCATGGGTTGATGCTCAACCACTGAACCACACTGCCTGGGCAGGGAGTAATAAATTTGCTTCACATTGAAACAGGGAAGTATTCTACAAGTGAAACATAGGGTCATAATATTACTTAGACACACCATACTATCAATATCAATCTAGGAAAAACTTATTCTTACCACTCAGAAACAGACTATGAACACTATATGTATAAAATATTCATTTCATTTTAAGAAACAGCATTCAGTATTTTTTTGGTTCAAAACTTCTGTAGTATAACTAGATACATTTAAAAATATTAGCCATTAGGCATTTAAAAAAAATCCACAAAATCTTCCAAACTTCTTATCCTGTAAGACCCTGCCTTGCCTTCTATGTCTACTCCGTGTACCCCAGTCCTTGACTACCATTTTCTACGTCTAGAACATCAAATATTTCAATTTTTTAATTGCTTGTATTAAAATAGTAATTAAAGAAATATTTAAAAAATGGACTGGATTTAAAATTAATTTCATTAGGTTATTTTGAAAAGTCTAAATAATTAAAATACATTGTTAAGAAATCAAATAGTTTTGAAAGGCTAACAATTAAAAAGAATAGCCTGTGCCTCATCTCTCTTCTCTCCATCTCTGGTCTTATTTCCTAGAGGCAAACACTTCTCAGCTATTAAAGCTGTTTGTTATTTCCCTCTGAAATTGAGTGTTGACCTATGAACCAGGAGGTCACAGTTCAATTCCGGCTCAGGGCATATGCCCGGTTTGTGGGCTCGACCCTTAATGGGGGGTATGGAGGCAGCTGATCAATGAATCTCTCTCATTATTGATGTTTCTATGTCTCTCCCCCTCTTCCTTCCTCTCTGAAATAAAAATATATTAAAAATAAAATAAAATAAAGCTGTTATACAAGCAAGTTTCATTTTTCTAAATAATATATAGTAATAGCTTAGAGAA